GTCCCCTATTCCTTGCACTCAAGTTACCACTACGCAATTCAATGCTGCTGTTCGTTCACTGGTGTTCTTTATTAATCCTGTTAATGTATATGATTGCTGGAGGACAGACAGTGAAGGACATCATAGGACAACTTAAGAAAATGTGGGGTTTCAGACTTTCTTGAAAGCATTGTCACGTCATGAGTTTCTCTGTCTTCGTCTTCACTACAAAAAACAGTGATAAAATGGATGCTTTGCAGGGATTGACACAAATACATTAAATACACGTCTATATAAGGGAATGGCATGACAAAGAGGAATAAGACAGAGCAAGATAAACAAAGCAGTCAGACGTACTGCCATTGGAGGTGAAGGCTAAGCTCTCTGGTTCAAAGAGAGGTCAGGGTTCAGAGTTCGTAGCATTACAGGTCAAACAGCCGTCAGGGGGTGACAACAGATAATACTTTCTTTACTGTTGTGTGAAGATAAGAATAGGATACAGTGCACACACTATTTAAGGATGTGATACTACATCTCATCAATGTTTCTTTCAGTCTTTTCATCAGGGCAAAGTCAAACTCATTTTTGTCTTTGTTAACCTCATTGCTATCAGTCTTTCATCTTCTTTCCATTTCCTGCAGTAGACCTTGCCTCCACATACAGTACACCACTACCCTTAATTTACATATTGTATGATAAAGTTACACCAGACTTTCAGCGTTTGCACATCTGGGTATGGAAGTACACACATTATGGCCCCTTGTTGACTTTATGTATGTTGTAATAACAGTAAACAATAATTTAAACTCTCTGTTAATACATCCCATACTACTATAATCTTCTCGAAAAAATACAGCTTTTACATATCCATTGATGAGTTTGGTAAACAAACACTAGGTACATGCATCTAGTATGTATGTATGTATTTGACAACTGTAGGTTGGCAGCTCACAGTAATGTACAGTACTGCATTGTTAAAATGATCGTACTTGTGAAAATACCCTGTCTACCTACCTGTTCTAAAGACCAGTATGTGGGATTTAGTGGCATCTAGTGGTTTAGTTGCAGATTACAACCCCCCCCTGCTTCGCTCTCCCGTTCCAAGGAAACATACCTATGATAATATAGTCAGTAGATGGTCCTAAATGTTACACATTGGCTCTTTTAATGTATTAATAGAGAATGTGGAGGTGTACCCTAATTTAAACCATAACTGATATATCCCAGAATTAATTTTGCCTTGATCTGAATGTGATTTGCAGTGAAACCAAATTTGGGAGACTAGTAGTCTTTCCAAAAAGACAAGCTTGAAATTTGTTCCTAAATGTGGCCTTTTGACAAAAAAACAACAACACACACGTACACACAAACAGTCTCAGTAAATGTAAGGGTACTGTCTGGTAATAAAAGCCTTCCTCTGTGGTGTAGTTGAACCCCTGTGTTTAACTGGCTCTGTGAATGTGTTACTGCTGAGAGACACACTGTGAAACTGTACTTACTGGGATTTGGAATTTGGCAGACACACTCAGCCAAGGCTTTTGTCCTTTTTTTAGGAGTGAAAAAAAGACAATTGTTGACTTGCAGATGCACTAAATGCTACTTTAGTGTGTGTGTGTGTGTGCGCGTGCGTTCGTTCATTCGTGCTTCATGTGTTGCATCCAGGTATACTTATCTGCTATATTTACCCTTTGTGTGACAGCGTCTGGTCAGTGTGTATCGATGTCAGGCATGGCCGGCCTCTGATGTCTGATTGGGTTACTTGGCAACAAGGTCGCTCTCATGTCACCATCTCCTGTCCGTGTCATGAAAGCAGTGACGGCACGTACAGTGTATGTATGTATATATGGGTGAAATTGATACTTTTCACCTTTTTTGATGTTTATTTAGCAGGATATATCATTTAGTTGGCTTAGCAAGCCCTCCTTTATTCTAAGTAAAATTACAGGATTTAGTTTTTTCAGTCAGAGATGTTTTATCTTCATAATCAGTGGTTTAAAGGTCTGTCTCATATACTGTGTGCACAGTGTCATCGCTAGTTATAGTTTCTTTTTACTTGCATCCTGAGAAATGTCACACTGTCATAAGTATCTGCTATTTAACTACGCATCGTGTGTCTTTTTGATGCAGGGGTGTGTGAATCCAGTTTATCTTCTAAAACCCTTTAATATGATCGGATTTCATGTAATTTTGCTTAAATTATGCCAGTAACTTTAGTTTAGTCCATTGCTGTCTGGTCTTGTGTTTACTTTGTCTCCTTTATTATCATGTTGAGAGGAATGTCCCAAACCCACTTTGTGACCTGTACAGCCTGTTTAAACAGCAGTTTGCTTAGCGACTGTTTTATTTCACAGCTAATCACTGCCAGATGCCTCTAATGATATAATCACATGTTGACGTTTTGCTGTCACATACTCACTCACTGTTGAAATGGTGCTGAAATGATGCTGTTGCAAATTAAGTTATTGCTTAAATTACTCAAATTGCCCCCAACAGTATAGGAATATTGTGTTTAATACAAACACTAGGGAAGAAAATGACCAGATACAGTACATCTGCTGATATACTGTAGATTAACATTAATAGTTTACATACCACCCGCACAATCATCCAGAAACACAGACATAATCTGGAAGTTTTGCAATGGGGTTTCATTTCCAAAATCACGGATATGAAATATGCAGTGTTAAGATTTTCCCTTTCTCAAAGCCATAGTTCTTTATTTCAGTGTTATCTCATAAGTTCTTAATTGTATTATTGTCTCATTTGGATTACTAATTTCATTGGTAATTTCCTTTACACTGAAGTAAAGCTGATATTGATAAATATGCTAAAAGACAAAATTTGTGACTCATATTTAAGCTAAAGTGCACAGAAAACTGCCATCTCAAATACACTGGCAGGTCTTTCAGTAAAAACTAAAGTATTTCTTGTATTCTGATGCTGTTACTTCTGCGTTTACATCAGTAGTGATGGTAACGTAAGTAATACAGGCCCATAATTTGACTCATGATCAGTTGAAAAACACTCAAAATGTAGATTTCCTTTAAATATATAAAATTAGAACTTTTACATAATTAGGGGACAGATGAAAGTTCAGCTGTCAAAGACTAATCTTGATATTCTCTTCTGACCAGAAGCAGCCAAACCAAAGCCTTTAAACGTCCACTACAGATATCCGGTCGAACATATTGATTATTGCCACTGCTGTTGCTTCTCTGTGTGAAGCTTTAAGGGAATGAAAACGAGGAGATTTATGGAATGGAAGTGAGGTGGGGGTTGAGCCACGATGCTGACCTCTTATGATGACCTTTGACTTTTCACTTCCCTTTGGGAGTTATGGTACTAAAACAGATTTTCTTCCTGAAAAGAGGAGATCAATAAACTAAACTGGTCCTGACTGCATGTCTATTTTTTGCTCTGAATATATTGTTGATTGTCTTACATGTTGGTTTGTAGGTGAGAAATTGAACCAAGGTTAATCATTTTCTCATCTAAGCCAGTTAACATCTGCTCCTATGCTGTTTTAATCACTTATTTTATTTCATACTTTAAGCAGTCCCTTTATCGCTGCACAGTAGAGAGTAATGAAGGTTAATTATTTAAGGACTGTGGCTTTACGTGTCATCAATGCGGACAAAGGTCTTAAAAAATATATGTGTGTGTTCCATATTTGCTCATGTTTGTAAGTTAAGCTGGGACATCAGTAGCAGGCAGTTGTCCCTTTGTGCAAACAGCAAGTGCTGAGGTTGTAGATTTCCCCTCTGAAGGGAAAAAGAAAATGAGGTCGGGGACCTGTCAGAACGATGGGGCTTTAAGTGTAGGTTTACACCACATCCCATCCACAAATCTGGGATCAGCTTTCAGCTGTGTAATGGATCCACAAGAGGAGATCCACAATGAGGTGTTATAACTTCAAATCAGTGTCTAGACAGAAGCTACTTTAATTTTCTCTTTTCAGGTCTAATCAAGGATGTGCAAGTGGGAACAAGGGAATGAAAGGGACTGATTAGGGTTATGAGGTTACTATGATACGTGTGCTTCATGCACATACACACACACACTCCACTGGTTTATTGTCACACCTTGGTGGTCACACACTCCCTCTGCGGTTACACTTGGGTGGGAAAACTCCACCTCCCAAACACACTTGTAGTGCCTCATAAAGACTTTGTTTTTGTCCCTAAGGGCCTCTGTGTGCTATTTTAGCTATTTTAACTATATGTTGGGCAGCTAAATAGGTTGTGTATTATATTGTACCAAAAAAAAAATGCACCAATTGCATATTTCTCATAAAACTTTTTTAAAACAAGAACCACTTCAGGTTATTCTCTTAAATGTCTGACTGATATATCTGTGTTGGGTGGTTGTCGTCATCCTGTTTACGCCATGTTCAACGTTGTCTTTAGGTACTCTAAAGTTGTTGTTTAACTAGTTTCCTCTAGCACCTCAGGCATGTCTGCTACGGTAATGCAAATATACTGGCGTTAAACAGTCTGAAGTATATTTAAACATACAGCTTAGTGCCTCCAACAGTCTTCAGAAGTAGTAGTTTCCTTGTGCACAGTTTCTCCTTAGAGAAATCTGCCACTGCAGATGTACAGTATGTCCTCTCAGTCTATAACTGTTCTGGTCATTTGTTCAATTCAAACTGGCATTAAAAATGTATTTTAGATGAAACAACTTGCGATTAATTCTGCCAGTAGCTGAGGGGGATGGGATTAAACATTGTTTGTCTCAGAAAAAGAAGCACCTGAGGGACTGGAGATGACAAGGATAATGAGGAAAGTAAACAGAAGGACAAGTGGGAAAAAAAGGTGTATGGGAGGGAAAAAAGGAGCCAAGTAGAGAAGGAGGAGTGGTTGCCATGCCGGCAAACGGATGCAGGGGAGGGGCAGAGATCAGGGATCACAGAAAACAGAGAGAAGAGGGAAGGGAGGGAAGGAAGAAGAGGCGGGCTGACTCGTATTTCAGCACCGTGGCTAGGGTTGGGTGTAATCCTAACCTTATACTCACAACACACATAGTCAACTCTCATAGTCTGTCACACACTTACCCTCTTGTGGACTGAGCAAGACTGGAGTTCAGGGAATCCTTACCAGCTCGTACGCCTCATCAGCCTGTCTGTGCGTCACACTGCGTGTGAGCTCAGCAGGTGTGGGCTTCCCTTCCTGATTCTCACTTGTGCTGCTCAGCTGATTGGAGATATAGATCCAGATGGCTGTCAACACCAGGACTTTTTTCACAACATCAACACACTTGGCATGCTTCTTCCTCACCTACCACTGACGACGATACACCTGGGAATGCGGTCAACACAGCACACAGCGGAAAAAGAGGAAGGTGGCGACAAGTAGTTGGACAAAATTCTCTGGAAACCCTGAGGCAGCATCATATTCGCCTTCAGGCATTTACACAACAACACACACATAATAGAGGATCCCTATTTGGAACTTGTGGCGGGAGGATTTCATATGCGAGTGTGTTTGTGCCAGTGTGTGAGTATGCATGTAACTTCATCAGGCTGGGAATAGACCAAGGGACGCTGAAACCTCTTAACCTCCTGGTCTGGCCTGGCACTGAGACAGTGTGTGTGTGTGTGTGTGTGTGTGTGTCAGCTGGTGTGTGCGCTAACAACTGGAGATAAAAGCACTCAAGGGCACACATGGTTGTAAACAACAACCGCTGACTCGCTCTGATTGAAAAGTATCTTAATGTTATTTGTAAACCTCTCTCCACCCTGCCATGCACCACCGAGAAATATTACAGCCAACAGTGAGTGCGCTCATACAAGCGTGTGTGTCGGGAGTGTGTGCCGCAGAGGGGTGGTGATTTTCCAGATTGCCGGATTGTCTAATTACCTCTTTGGGTTTGGGAATCACGCCCGGAATCTTTAAGCACAAAGGAGGAGAAGAAAGGAAAAGAGATGATTTAAGTCTGACATTTGGCTTGTGACACAAAGATTACTTGAAGGAGAAGGAGATTGTCCAGGTCAAAGTTATGATGTGGAACTGTGCAAAGAAAGTGAAGGAAAACTGGGCTATGGCTGAATTTCCACCTGGAACTAATTTAACATAGAATCTGAATAGTTTCAAGCGTTTTAGCATGTGTGCAGATCTGGATACTGTATTGAGAGATGCTTGTAATAATCTGGATTTACAGTGAATATCTAAGGAGGATCTACATCTGAGGATTATTTAGATTGAAACTTGGACATTTTGATCCTACATCCTACCAACTTGGACTTACTTTCCCCTGAATGAGGATGAGAGGGGACAGGAGGTCCTCTTCCTTTCGTAAGGAGAAACCCGCCGGCCTGTCCCGGGCTCTCAGCTGGCTCAGCGTGTCCACCCTCTCCCGCCAGAGCAGACGCATCTTTCACAGCCAGAATGAGCTCCACGCCATCCACAACCGTCGAACGCACTCATACTCACACACTCACCTTCACGCCACAGACAGAGATGAGGACGATGATGACAACTGGGTGTACCAGCCTCAACACAAAATAGGTGAGAGGGTATAGAGGGATGGAAAGACCTCAAGGAAGAGACAATCTTTGTCATTGCTGAGTCCATTTGTTGTGTATCTTTCTGTAGATGCACAACCTCCAAACCACGTGGTGTGTTTGTCTTGGCTGCATCACAACTCTTCACAATGCTCGGAGCTCATTTGAATGGATTTTTGTTCTCGCTCTCAGCCAGGAAGCCAGTGAATGACTTGTTTACATGCTCAAGCAAAGCAAGAAGTGGGTCACTGTCTTTTTATGGCCCCTTGTTCTCCGTCTCCACGTCCCTGGCACTTCCTGGTTGCTGTAGGGAGCGGGCGGGAGTGTCTGCGATCAGTGGGGCTGTTATGGGGTCCAAGGGCACTTTGTGTGTGCGATAGGTATACAGTGATGCGACAGGCCGGAAACGGGTGATGTCACGGGCACAGTGATGTCACAGGCTGGTGGCGATGTGAGTGCAGGGTCTGGTGCCAGTGAGAGTGTGTGTTTGTGTGTGTGGAGGCTTGTATAGCTCATCACTCTGACCAAGTGATAATACCGTAGAATAAAATGTTTTCTTCAGTAACATTACTAGTTTATATTTTGACCTCTTCTTGACTGAGGTAAGAATTCTCTTTAATATTCTCTCAGTACCTTAGAGAGGTATAGTGTTTCTTGATTGGGCTCATTATTTATTAATTAGTTGATTAGTTGTGTGTGCGCAGGCGTCTGTGTGTGTGTATTTTGTCAGTGGTGTCAATAAGACAATAGTTGTAACTGTAGCCTAACCTTTACCTGAAAATGGAAAAAGATACTGATGCTGCACTATTACTCTCACGACTTTCTTCATTAACTCTGACCCACACTGCCATCGTCTGCAGCTGCAGTGATCAGCAAGAGCCGTGAGGACTAGTTTGATCCATAATCATCATTAACTCTTAACATACCTATTAAAATGATATAGCTATCCTCAGGGAGGTGGCAGCTTTGAATGCAATACAATCTGATAATGAAGCTTGGACGTTCATATGCTTACTGACATGTTTAGATGTGTCCATGTTCATATGCACAGTTCATAGTCAGCTATCTAAAAATGCTACTGTTTTAGGACTGTTCTGACAGCTGTCTGCATCATGATTGTAACCCTTAGTTACCTCTCCGGCAGAAAAGCAGGAGAGGTATATCAGGGCGTTTTCAAATATGCCATGTTCAGTCCAGTTGAGCCTGGCTCGTTCAGTTTGTTTTTCTCCCTGGGTATGATTAGTTTTGAGCAGAATTGAACACAGTAATCATACTGTCATGGTCGAGGTGCCGATAGATCCTCCTAAATGTTACACACCGGACCTTCAAGAGAAACTCAACCAAGGGGAAAAGCATTATGTTTTCTAACTCATTCATTGACTCTGACTAGAGCAAACAAACTAAAGGTTTGAAAACATCTTTAGTATCTCTTATCTGAACATGTTGCTATTGTGTTATCAGACACAATTTTTGTGTTTAACAAAAAGTATAAAATTATCTTACTCAATCAATCTTGCTGCATACAGTGCAGACTAAATACATATTTTATCTATGTATCTGTTTGGCCACACTAAAGTGGTTGTTTAAGACACGTGGAGCTATCTAAGGATAAGTTACAGTTTTGCTGCCTCATAGGAATGTGGAGCTTGTTGATGTTGTCTTTTTTTGCACGTCTCAATACTTCTTAGTCACTCTATCACCTCTGAACCTGCCCCTTCCTAAAAACAGCTCGGGGCTACACATGGCTGGCATGGTTTGAGGTCCTCACATATTTCTCAAAGTCAAAGGGTAGAAGTTGCAGTTTTAATGATCACATTCTAAAATGGTGAATGTGATCATGAAAACGAGGCTGTAGATGTTCACATTATTTCTGGTGGTGTTGATGTGGATGTTCTTTTATTTTCTTTATCTGAAACCTACAGATAACCTTGTTATAAAACTGAAAAGGCCGGGGTATCTCTACAGCACTACAATTAATTCTGTTTTGTCACACATTTGAAAAATCTTCTTGCACTTGGCCACATTGCGATTTTGATTAAATGTCCGGCCCTATGTCAAACATTTTGTTAAGTTGTAAATTAAATAGCTAACAGCACAGCTTGGAGACTGAGAAAATACACATTAGATTGAACAGCAACAAGGCTCATGTCTGTGTTATGTCAGTGTGTTAACACATTTTGTTATTTGACTGCTAGAGTTGTTTTTCAGAGACTGATGCTCTCTCTCTCTACTGTGCTTTTTTTTCTACCTCACAAACCCTCTTCTTTTTTTCTCTCTCTCTCTCTATCATACACACAGTCCCTATCTTTTTATAGCTAATTCTAGGCAAGAGACGGTGTCATAGACAGGTCAATATAAAACTCTTCCATCCATTGCACACACACAAACACATACGCACATACTGTACATATACACACTGCACACCACACAGAGGAAACATCTCATAAGAATACCTCTCGAGTTCGAACCTGAAGTATTTATAACATCTGGATCTTGCTTCCACACGCCTGCCAGGACCCATTACAAGACACATGGGAAGCCGCGCACCATGCCTGTGTGTAAATATAGCCCTAAAATAAGTGCCTGTGACTCCAAAACCGGCAATTTTGACGCAGCCTCCAGCTTGACTGGTTGGGTGTTTGCCTTGGTCGCCAAGGTAACGGTTGTGCGAGTGAGTGTTTCCTGGTGTGTTTCAGTTTGACCTTCCTATTGGGGCGACTCTGAACCAATCATGTGTAAGAGAGTCGTCTGTTACACAAGCTGCTATTGGCTGTCCTAGTGAAGATCTGGTAAACTTTAATTGACTTGAGGTGGAGCAACAATACTGAGCTATGAATGGGAGCAGAAAAATAAACAGAACAACACAAACTTTACTTCATTGTATACTTTATTAAAGCAGCACTCCTACAGTGAGAGAATTCTCATTTAGCATTAGAGGAATCAAGAAAAACGTATATACGTTTTATAAAACATAATTTCTACCAGCAATAGACCTTTTTCATAGCAGCCATTTTGATATGAAACATAGTGGTAAACAGGTGTGACCAATGATACTAATTAAGATTCTGATCCATACAGGTCAAATAGAGTCATGGTGCTGCTGTTGTGCATGTTGGCTTACCAGAACGACTGCACTAAATGGAATGGAGCTTTAATTAGTATAAAATGTATGTTTACCTTCAAAATGGCTGCTGTGAAAAAGTTCTATTGAGGGGATTCTTAATGTCATAGGAAACAGTTTGTAGTATAAACAAATTTTCTTAGTAAATTGTTTGTATAGTTGGTACGCAAAAAAGACATTTTTGCAAGAGGTGGCGAACCTGAATGACGCATGAGCCCCCAGATCCTGGCTAAAATATATAGCTCAAAACTTGAGATAATCAAATAATGCATGATGCAGTTTCATGCAGTTAAATTTTCCCAGTTCAGTTGCTCCCCAACAGCACACACAAAAATGTGCGTTTATTATATGCATATTGACATTAAGTACGTACTGGAGAATAGGGACACATTTCCTTTCTGATGCCCAGCGGAGGAAAGCCAGAAGCTTTATGATGAAGAAATAATGGTTAAAAAGAGACGATTCTATTGTTTTCTCTCAGCCTCCTCCATCAATAGTTTGAACTCACTCCTCCTCTCACTGTCTCCTTTCCTCTCTTTCTGCCTTGCTGTCAAACATATACACAGACACACAATGACCTGATCAATCTCCTTAATCAAACCCATCGATCTCCTCTACATGGCTGTATGTTTGAATCAATCAGCGGGCAGGCATGATGGCTGTTCTGGAAGACCATTTGGATCAGACAGGCCGGCTGCTGAGGCTCCGTCAGCCCTTCTGAGCTTGAATCCCTGTCTGGCCTTGCTGGGGATCTGAGCTTTTACATGATTACTTAACTTGCTTCTTACAGTATATGCTGTTTATGTGTTGTGTACAGCAAGTCACCACATGAAATGAACTTGGTGACTCATTGAGATTTCCGTTGTTGGCAAGTAGTAGCGCACCATGTTTACATGCAAGGAGGGAGATTGAAGGATTTAGTAGAATTTTGTGTGTGATGTATTTTTATGCATCTACTTCATTTACACTGTGGTTTTCTGTTTTATTTATTTATTTACCTTCATTTACAAATTTATGGCAACAACATTTTGACCTAAATATTTAACATACCTTGGCACACCAGTGTTTTGGCAGCCAGAACCAGAATTGGGTCTCACATAAAATGCCATTAATGAGCTGTTTATGAATTTAGGCTGTTTTGAAAAGGTCTTTCAGGGCACATTTTTCTGTGTGAGATGCGTAGTGAAATTTGAGAGGATTCAGAAACTGTTGTGTAACAGTCTTTTTTGAGGAGCTTTGGACTAGCTAAGGGATGGACAGATACACACACACACACAGCGATACACACTCATCATTATGTAGTCCATGTGTAAATCCAGATTAGCAGATGATAATTCGCTGTAGGGGAGATGTGATGTATAAACCAGCAAGGCCTCATTAAAAGACAGACATGGAAATCTGGTGATGTGGCCCCTAGCCCAGGGTGTATACACACTCCTACTGTACGCAGAAATATATGTTTACACGCAACCTTTGTGCACACTTATAGTTAAAAAGATACATAAAACTTCTTCTAATCACCTTTCTCTTTTTTCCCTCCTATGTGCTGACAATGATGTGGTGATTTTTCAGGTAAGTCATTTCTTTTTCTCTCCGATCCACATAACCTCCTTTTTATGTCTCTATTAGTTGATCCCAGATCAGTCCTTCTCTATGCTGAAAACCCCTACAAAGCCAGCCACACGTCGCAGTCAAGTTTTAGCCTGTATTAAATCGCATTAGCTCAAAATATAATATTTCCCTCTAAAACCAAAATCTCTGACTTGCACCACCCACCTTTTTGTATCATATTCTATGTATCCTATTACCTTTTGTATTATGGGATCTAATCCATGCCTGGACTCAAACATGATTTCAGTTTGTAAGGGGATAGAGGTCGAGGG